CATTGGAAACTGAATTGTTTTCACCTTCTGAACAACTGTTTCGAATTTACTGCTCTTGTGAGGTCACAAAAAACAATAAATCTGCATGCATCCACCTTTTCAGCCTACAGCAGTTTAGCTTCTGAATCCCCTGAACTAAGGATAGGAATCTCTGTATGAACACATCCCTTTCTCATCTAAGACTAAGAATCTTCTCGGCTTTGATGTTGTAAGTAACAATTATCATTTTTATCTGAGCCAGAAATATCTTACACCTCTTTTTTGTCTAATGCTAGTTCTCCTGAGCAATTTTAAGAAAATCATCATTAAATCTCCTGAGCTGTAAAATAGCAACATTTTAATAGCAAAATAGCAAAAAAGAAAATTCCTCTAGGCTGCTACATTCCACTGTTTTTTTTTATATATATATTTTTTGCACAAGTCAGCCGTTGAGATGTAAAAAAAAGTCATTCAGAGTGGTTTGATTTAAAACTGTTCATTGTAGAGAAACTTACTTACTCATATTTCTTCCATGAATTATCTAGAATGACCAGTGAACCAAAATGTACCATCTGAGTTTCACAGGTAAGTTTGATAATGGTGAAACAGTGGAAAATCAGAAAAAAAGAGATTTCTTTGGTAACTATTTTGTCCTCTCTGCCGTGATTGGAGATCGAAAATACCCCAAAAGTATTTCTTAAAACTATGGTAAAACAATGTCTCCAGAGAGTGTATTCATAACCATTTCATATAATAATCGTCTGTAAGGGAGCTTTTAACGTTGTTTACTTAACATCTTAGCCTTTTAATTATGCAGAAAGTTTTGAAGTTAAGAATGTTTGTTCCCCCTTCTATAAAGTTGCCATTTCAGAGATATAAGATTAGCTATGACAGTGATTATATTAGTTTCAAAGAAGATACTGAAGAATTCATAGTAGTACTAGATAGTAAACCTTAAGATTAAGAGTTGAATAATGTGCCTAGAGTTTAAGCAGCTGACTGTTCAGTAACTACTATGAATTATTCAGTAACTACTGTCTTGTAAGTTATGTAGTTACATCAGTGAGGACTTGAATTCTGGACACAGATGATAGACCCTTGCAGGTTCATCAATTACCACTATGAGAAATATTTCCTAGTGCCTGAAAATGTGGCTGATTTACAGTTGAGTGTTCTGAGGAAATCACAAGTCTTTGGTGTATCAAAGAAGTATAAGGAATGGTAAAGAGTGAGGACTTGGTAAAGAAGTGTGATGGTCTGAACAGTGAAAATAGCAGTCCACAACTTGGGTGGCCTTGGCTCTGTCCCATGGTGACCACCATCACTGCAGTGATGGGAGTTACAAAGTGACTCACTGCACAAGCATATACAAGCAGAGTGCACCAGCAGCCTATGTTTGAGGCTTTCTGTGAATTACTTCTGTAACAATGGTGTTCATCTCTGTGCCATAACATCAAGCAATGGGTAAAAAAACACTGTACGAGCACAGTGAATGTATCATGGTTAATATATTCACTGCTCTATTTCCACAATCCGCACTTCACTCTACGTCTGTTATTCACTCCACACCTATTATTATAACAAAGCACACTGGCATTCAGTGCTACTGTCTGCAATACTTCTGTGTGCTCTCACTGGATACAGGCTGTTCTGTCTGTCTTCTGTACCACAAAGTAAACAGCTCCGCTGATGTTCCACAGACCTCAAAGCTCTTAGAATTGTGATATGTGCAGGATGTCAGTACATGTTGCACTGCATCATTGCCGAATCATTACTTTTTTTACACAAATGACTTGTCAAGCCAACTTACTGTTCTTCATTTTATTATGCCACTTTCACAGGTCGCAGTTTTTGAGTTAGAATCATGAAACTTTGCAGCGATTGTTTAAACGTGATTATTTTACCCATACTGAAATTTACAACTGAGCAACTGAAAATTAAAATCTAACTTTCTTACACTGCCCCTTATAGACATTACATTCAGTCACATATTAGCAACAGCCTGGAATGCCATAACAATAGCCTAGCAACACCTTAGTAACCACTTTGTATCTCATAGCAATGGACTAGCAACACCTTAGTAACCACCGTGGATAACATAGCAACAGCCAAGCAACAACTTAGCAACTACCGGGAATACCACAGCAATGGCCTAGCAACATCTTAGCAATGACCTGGGATAACATAGCCGTTGCTTTGTAAGATAACTTAAAATTGGTTCACAAACTTTCCCATTCTTGTAAATGATGCCATTTAATATAGTCAAAAGTCCAGAGCTTTTGAAAGCACCCACTGTCACAAACAAGGAGCTTTTACATATGAACAATGATACATGATGAGATATGAAAACAAATCAAGTAAAAAATGCAGGAGAAAAATGTACATTTTGGCTAACATCTGCATTATTGTTTCCATCTATATTCTTTGCAGTTTTAATGCTGTTACATAAAAAAGAAAATGAATCAGTATGCACAAATGGTGTACTAATATTTTCTTCACTTACAGCGGTGAATCAGACACATCAGTCTTGGGAGGCTTTTGTGTTTGTGTTCCATTATCTTACCACATATTGATCCTGTTCAGTAGAGTCTATGTATATAGCAACATGATCTCATACGATGCATGTAGCAGTGACCTTGTTGTTCCACAGCCAAACTTTTATGCTCTCATCTTCGGTATGTTTTGCTGCAAAGTGGGAAGCTAAAGGACTTTCAGTTTATTGGTTCATTCCTTGATTTATCAGGCCACAATTAATAAAACCCAAAACCACATAAGAAGCAAGAGATTTTTTTAAACTAATATGTATGTAAATTGTGTATGTGTAATACACACTTTACATGTATATGTATGTGTAAGCCTGCACTGTACCTCACATGGGGAGGTTTTACCACAGCCTCTCAAATGCATGCACAGTTCCAGATGAACTATCACTGAATTTAGCCACTGGTCACAACTTACTTAGCTTATTTCCAGTTCCTGTTTAATTGTGATTAAACTGATTTAGAGCTCAATTGACTGCTATTGATCATTAGCATCATCTTGATCTCAAATAAAGAAGCCAGAGAGGGTTCTTTAGAGCAAAAACACAGAAGAACCACTTTTGTTTGCCTAAAAACCTTTGACTGGGTGGTTCTTTAAAGAAACATTTTGTCAATAAGATGTGTGAGTGTGAAGAACTATTAAGAAGTCTAGGGAACCTCCACATAATAAAACATATGTTTGTATCCTAATTTAAGGTTTTTGTGTGGTATGCAGGTAAGATATGTTCACACTAAACTCTTGATGACAACAGGTACCACCAGATTCGTCTATAAATTAACCGTTTTTCTCTCAGCGCCATGTGTTAGACATAAGTCATGGCCTTAACATAAGATCTGCTAAAAGATTTGGAGACCTCGATTTCCTGGAAAAGGTTGTTACTGGTTTACTCTTGTTACAGACATCACACATTTCAGCCAGAGCATCCACATAAGAGTCCAGCCTGATGTCAGAAGGCTTTTAAGTTAAAAGAACGCATCAATTGTTTGAGCTTTGATCAAGAAAGGCTAACTGTTCTATAAATATGCTTTCATTTGTATCGGCTACTTCTCTTTGTTACACATGATGTCATTTATGATGTATGCCATTTCCACATTAACTGTTCATGCCACATTGTCTTCTGTCGCTGTATGCACTAGACTTCATTTTAAAGTGCTCATTTCCTACATTTTAATTGTTTTTTATGTTTTCCCTTGATTTTTATTTATAATATTTGTGTGGTTGTTTGAACCAAAAACAGTCATAATTCATTTTTACATGATCATTCCAACCTCTCTTTATATCTTAAAATAAAGCTGTCTGTTTTTTTTGTTACTGTGCCCCTAAGACTGATAGTGTTGATGTCCAAAAAACAAAAACATCATCATTATAGTGAAAAATTCAAGAGATACATGCTTTTTTGGACAGCAAAGATATGTAAATGACCTCTGTTCTGATTGGCTACCCTGTCCTGTGCCTCCTTCAAAAAGGTGTCCAGGCTGAAACACCCCTTATAACTTCAGTGTGCATGAGCAGCGGAACTGCTGTCAGCTAAGCAGGTAGATATATGTAAATGCATTGTTTTTTTGTGGCATCACACAAACGATGAATTCAAAACTGGTTGTTTTTGTGGTTCAGTGTTAACTTATGGTTATAGACTGTATGAACTGGGGAGTGAACAGTACGTTTAGAAACTCTGTTAAAATACTACATCAAAGGCTTTCATTTTAAAAAAGCAAACGAGTTTTACATGAGTGGGCCCTTTAAAAAGGCTGGATATTTAGTTGTTTACAGTTTTCTAAGTAAGAGTAGCAGATTCGGGATAGTCCCAGCCTACACACACGCCCACATGCTCCTTTCAGTAACTCCTGCTCTTATTCCCTCTCCCTTTATTACTCATTCTGCCAGGTTCAACTGCCCCCCTGACTGCAATGAAATCCAGCATGGTTTCTTTCTTTCTCTCTTTCTCTCTCTCTCTCTCTCTCTCTCTCTCTCTCTCTTTCTCTCTTTCTGTTATGCCTATTTCTACTGCATGCAAATATCAGTAGAATTGTTCATTCTTTCCCTAATTTTCATCCAATTCCTGTAAACAGCAGCTATGCCACTACATTTTCATCTCTCCATCAACATCCCTCCCTCCCACACACACTCACTCACTCACACACTCACCGGTCATGCAGTAGCATAAATCAGAGATGTAGGCTGCGATCCACACACAGCCCTGTTCTAAACACACGCACACACACACACACGCAGACTCTGAACCGCTCAGCAGAACGTCGCTTCACTGTTTTCTACCATGCAGCCAAATGCATTTCACACATCCTGAACGTGAGGCAAAGAACATTAGCCCAGTGCTGCTACACACACCAGCTACTCCTCCCCAACCTGCTAATTACCACACACACACACACACACACACACTAACACACATACACACACACACTCATACACACAAACGCACGCGCGCTCGCCGGCAGCGGAAGAAAAGAAGGGGGTCTTACTGAGTGTTCGCGAGCCGATACATCCCATGGTTTATTCACAAAGGCCTTGGAAATGAAGGAGAACGTGTTTGCCTTTCACCATACATTCTCTCCCTCTCTCTTTTCTCGCTCCCTTTCTTTCTCTCTCTCTCTCTGTCTCTCCGCTCTCGTGCTGCTCTCCCTCCCTCTCCCTCCCTCTCCCTCTCTCTCGCGTCTTCCCTCTCTCCCCTGCTCTGCTCACACAGCCGCTCTCGCTCTCTCTCTCTCTCTCTCTCTCTCCCTCTCTCTCTCTCTCTCTCTCTCTCTCTCTCTCTCTCCGGTGCAGTCAGACCACCGAGTGATGACAGACTTGTCATTTCATACTTGCTGTACTTGATGCTGTAATACTTGGTTATTGATGATTGTGCAGTGTTGATGAATGTTTCTTCTACTAAAAGAGGATTAGTATATTAACCTATGACGTATCATTAATAAGTACTTAAGCTCACGGGGCGCTGGAGCCGGGGATGCTGTGGAACTGATAGGCTATATATTGCTGGCGTGGGCTTGCGCGTGTGCGCGTGCTGTATTGGGTTTCCATTGTTGTCATTGCATCTGTGCACTGCTGTGCGTGAGCTGAGCTGAAATGCGGAGATTCTCTCTCTCTCTCTCTCTCTCTCTCTCTCTCTCTCTCTCTCTCTCTCTCTCTCTCTCTCTCTCTCTCGCTCAGTCTCTGTCTCCCTCTCTCGTTCTGCCATCACTTCACACATCTTACAATGCAGTACAGCTGTTCCCCCCCCCCTCCCCCCCCCAACCCCATCTCATATACTTATACTTACATACAATCACCACCAGGTATTACTGTGTGGCCCTTCTGTACTCTCTGTATTCTCTCTCTCTCTCTCTCTCGCTCTCTCAGGAGTGGATTTGTTATCTGCATGTCTCTCTCAAGCTCTTCCTTTATCTCTCTTTCTCTGTCTCTCTTCCTCTCTTTTTCTCTACCGCGCCTCCCCACAACTCCCCTCCCCCCTCCACCGTATAATAAATCTGTGCTGGCCCTACGTATATGTATCACTCCCAAAAAGCAGTGACGCAGGCAAAATGAGATGAAGGATGGAAGGAGGTTCAATCATTTTTCCTTCACTTCACAGACAGAGAGAGTGAGTTAGTGAGAAAGGGAGAGAGATGGACAGATGGAGAGAGATGGAGAGGAAGGGAGCCAAGGAGGAGGAGAGGCTTTGAGTCATTTTAAGCAGAGGTGAGGCTGGGATACGCAAATTAGTATTCAGTAAAAGACAGAGCAAGAGCAGCGGAGAGAGAGGAGGAGGGAAGATGGAATAAGGAACAGGATGGGAGATGAAGTGAAAGCAAAAAACCTGAACAGAGAGAGGAAGAGGAAGAGGTGGAGTGGAAAGGCGAGGGTTAATGGCAAATGTACACCAGAAAAAACAAAAAAAACCTGGCGAGACGCATCAGCCAAGCCGTAATCTCCCCAATCCTGGAGAGACACCCTGTGCATCAGCTATATATAGCAGATCAGCTCACTCACTGTTTGTGTGTGATCCTTCACTTTAGCCTGCAGAGTGAAGTGGTGGGAAAAGGGGGCATCTACTAAATGTGTACATTTCCATTAAACAGCACAGGTACAGCGGAGGGTATAGCCTGGAGAGAGATCTGCACATATGCACGCTTGTTTTTATACCTTGTCAGGACAAGGCGTAGGTAAATAAATAAACAAATTAGTAAAAAAAAAAAAAATCAATAAATAATCTTGTTATATTTACTGGGTTTAGACAGCTGGGATAGGCTCCAGCACCCCACCATGACCCAGAAGGATAAGCAGTTTAGATGATGTATGTATGTATGTATGTATGTATTTACTGGGTTTATATTTATTTGTATTTGTGTCATTTGGGGCTGGTTTCCCAGAACCTGATTAAGCCTAAAGCCAAACTAATAAGAATTTCCACTGGTGATTCACCATTCACACCGAAATTTTGTTCAAGACATTCCATGTTTGGGAAACTGGCCCATATTGTTTTCACAGGCACAAACTGAGATAAATAGTTTTGAAAATTTTTCTTGGTTGTCTAAGACTTTTGCACATTACCGTATGTCTCATGTGTTATATATATTTTTGCTGTTGGAACAAAACCTTGTATTTCCACTTTGGTTGTTTATTATTATTATTATTATTATTATTATTATTATTAATTGTTATTATTATTACTTTTTTTACAGAATTTTAAAATGCCAGCTAAAATGCCATCTCTGCGTTTCAGCTCAGACACATGGACTGCAGTGGACACCAGAAGGTCTGACACTGGAAACCTGCTCACAGCACACAAATCATCTTTTATTGTGTGTGTGTGTGTGTGTGAGCAGTATGTGACTGATGGGTGCTGTAGTAGAAGGTGAGGGAGGAGAGGAGGAGCTGCAGATTAAGTGTGTGTGTGTGGCTGTCGCTCTCCTGCTTGAAACACACTCATTACTGACTGCTGGAGTGCTGCTGAGGGACTTTCCTCTGCACCAGCTCTCTCTCTCACTCACTCCTCCACTTGCTTAAACTTGCTCCTTCACTGTAAGTTTCACACTTTTCTGTCATGTTCTGTTGCTCTTATTGAATTTCTTCCTCACTCCACATCCATAGAGCTGTCTTCGAGTGCACCAATCCTATCATATAAGGATTACACCAGTCTCTTGAAAGGTCCACTCCAGCTCACTTTTTCTTTAACTGTGTGCACATTTCAGCCAGAGGTTATGTGCCAGTTTCAGCATTTCATATGCTGTTCCAAAATGCAAATTTGGTTGGAGGTCTGGTGATTTTGCTAATCAGTCAGACGGTCTCAGTGTCCATCTTGTCTGTTGAACCACTTACATACAGGCACCCTACAGCTGTCATCCTGGAACGTGGGAATGTCAATGTCATGTTCTGGTAAGCCATGAAGGACAAAGTCAGTGAAAGAGTGGGCTAAAATGAACAGGATCTATCCCAGGAGACTGGTGTAATCCTTACTTTTCTGTCTAGAGAGCTTATTACATTACAGGCACAAGCGCTTTAACTACAATAATTACATCCACATGTGTTTAAAATAGCTTTTTCATTTTTGTATGGTGAAAGCAATCTGTCACACTTTCTTAATTAAGAAACAATTTCAAGACATATTCTAACTCTTTGATGTCCACTCCCTTTCAGCACCATGATCCTCAAAATGAAGTAAAGTTAGATGACTAAATGATTCATCAGAACATCACGGCCAACGTCTCACTCACTGTCACAAGTCCTGTTAGCACTGCATTCACCCTCGTTGTCATCACCAGTTTGGTAGAATGTCTCTAACAAATTTCTAGCCTCTGCAGCCAAAAATCTGTCTTTCACAGAATTTTTTTTTCTTTACCGTTTCCTTCTATTCTTTGCATTTTGCATGATACTCAAAAAGATGCTAAAGCATCTGGGAAATTATTCATTCTTACTGCTACATTCTCAATACAGTTGGATAATGTGACCAAAGATGCACCCTAATAATTCTAATTACAACTCTGAGAGAACACACTAACATACATGGCATAAGGATGTAGAAAAGGAGACTCCACAAACAGTGTGTGTTACTCAGTGGCGAACTGTGCCTATTAAAACTAAGCCTTCAGTTAAGGCCAAAATGTCAAAATGAGAGAAAAAAAAAAAACATCTCTACAATAATTCTAATGTCTGCGAGCATTCCTATGGGATTTCAGAAGTATGCTCATGCTAAGCTATCACTGATTCACACAAACGTTTTTTGGCCATCCTAGATTAGACATTAACATATATATTTTTACCTTGTAGCAGTTTTACCGTGACTGCTTCAGTGAAGAGCTCTAACAAAGAGCTACCCCTGCTGTTTTCCATTGATGATCCTAGGGTTTGGCTAGGGTACTGCTTGTATTTGCAGTCAGTGACATGTCCAGGACTTCCAAATGCCTAGAGTAACAATTTTTCCTCACAAAATTGGTCCCATCTAATGTACATCAAAACATGATTGCTTAATTACTCTGTCACTTACTAATTATGCCAATTGTGAAACTGACATGTTAGGCCTTCAGCTGCTGAAGTCCTAACTAGTGGGAAAGCTCACTTGGCTGTATCAACCTAGATCCTGTTCTGATTGGACAATTTTCCATTGAGAATTCCAAGAATTTAACTCTTGTGTTTCCAACCAAAACTTAACAATGACATGAGTATTTCTACTACTACTACCACTGATAATAAATTTAATTTATATAGGGACTTTCTCAAACCCAAGGATGCTTTACAACAGCAATAAAATCACAATCAACAATACACAAAACAACTGGCTGGCCCGGAAGGAACCCTAAGCTGCAGGAGAAGGCTCCTCTCATCCTGGGAAGCCATTGATGTAGAATTGCTACTTCCATACTTGCAGAGTTTTAATACAACAAACATGATAACTAGATTACATAAAATGAAGTGAAAAGTTACAGATGTATTTTTTATTTCACTGAAATCATTAGGTCTTCTCTGAAGGCCTAGAAGGCCCTCAGAGTCCTCCACTGATATTACTGTGGAAAGTCATTGGGTGCCATTAATATGTCTTCAGTTTCCAAGGCAGTGCTTGGGTAAACATAATAACTCTATTACAATCAAGGCAGAGGCTAATGCAGGTGCTGAGCTAGAGCCTTAACACTAGGATATCAGATATCTGCCCAGTAAAACACACACACACACACACACACACACACACACACAAAGAAATGTGTAGACACACACATCTGCCATTACAAGCGTACTTCTGTGAGGTATACTAAGCCATGTATTATCAGACTGCATGTAAAATTCTACTTCTGCTGTTCCAGCTGTTTTTTTGTTTTTTTTTTTTGGTTTAGATCCAGAACTTTTTATACACTCTTCATTATTTTCCACTTCACTTTCCACCTACACAGGCTATGCCTCTGGTTGCCTTCTTCATGTGTGTGTGTGGGTGTGTGTCACTAAAACTGTGTGCTGTGGGACGTCCCATCCCTCCTCCATAATTCAAATGCTCTTTCCCTTTCTCCTAGTTACCCTACATTGCTTTTCATCTCGTCTAGACTTCCAAGTGTTGGCCTATCCTGCCTGCCTACCTATATCTGGCAACCCTCCTTAACATACTGGCATCACTATCTGTCTGCTCCTTTAAACTCCTGTGTCCATCAATCATTTGTCTGCATTATCTCTGCATATATACTC